GTTTTTAATGCCACTTAACTGTTACCACGTTGCACTCGATCACATAGCACATATGAATATCAAGTTTTTAGATTGTTAAATAAAAATGTTAAAAAAATATTTTTGAAAAATAATTTAAATTTTTGGAATTCTGTAATTATTCTATCAATTTTCATTTTGTAGTATGTAATAAATAATAAAACAATTTAACACTATTTTTTTTATCCAGTTGGTTATATTCGACATATGGTTTTTTCGCTGACAATAGATTTCACAAAAAGGATGAGACTTTTCATCACTTTAGTGCCATAGGGATATACACAGCAATGCATGAACTGTTTGTTGAGGGGTCGAGTGCGTGCACAACACTCTGGGATGAGAGGCACTGAAGTCTGTCTGACTATTTTTGTTTATTTTAATATTATATTTATATTTAGTAATATTTTTAAAGGATTTCAGTTAATAAAATACAACAAGAATAAAGAATAAAGACAAAAGTCAAATCAGATAACAATTAGATGAGAGCAAATTATGAGCGTATTTCAATATGTGTTGGATTCTTACCTTTGGAGTTTTTGTTCTTGGGATTTTGATAAGACCACTGTTTCTGTTTCTAATCGTCTTGCTTGTTTAGTGTGATGTATGTGACTGTTTTAACTGCCTTCTTATGTAAAGGTGTATCTTGCTTTGTTGCAACATTTTCAAACATTTCCAAGTGTAACACCATGTTTACTGATGACTGTTTGTTTTGACATTGGTTTCCTTTTATACACAAAAGTGACACGTCATCATTACATTTGTCAAGATTCAATCAAAACTTTGAGTCTTGACACTTGATATAAATACAACAATACTTTATTTGAAAACATAAAATTTATTCATAATATTGTATCAAAAAATAATGAAAAAGACGTGAATTAATTACTGTACCATTTTGAGAATCTCATCAAGAACCTCAGAGCGGCCAGGCGTTTTATAATGACCTTTTGGTTTTGGAAGAATACAAACGTGGGAAGTGAGGCAATTGAGTATTCGGCAGCATAATCAGTTGCTGTGGTTGCGTCGAATTTGAAGAACTTGAGATTTGTGTGTTCTTCAGCAAGTTTGTCCATCATTGGCGCACATGCTTTGCATTTTGCACACTCAGGAGAATAGAAGATGACAAGAATGTTCTTGTTGTTTCAATTCTCTCTTTTACTTCGGCAACATTGGTTGTGTATCTCACTGACAAATCTTGATTCTATGCCATATTTTAGTCTTTAAATATGTTACAACAGCTGTGTGTTGTAACACCAATTGTTACGACACATAGTTACCAATGACCAGATGTTGTAATAACTTTGTCGTGATTAAATAAAGTTTTCATTAAATTAAAAAACAAATTGTTTAGTTTTTATGGTTTTATTTGAAAATATATAGTTGGTATCAATTTTAATAATAAATCAACTGTAGGTCTTTTAACCGATATGTTTTTTTTAAAAAAAAACATTCACTTTGAATAAATAATTCAAATGAGTATAATAATAAATTTAGGATATCAAAATTGACATTAATATACAAAGACTGGCTTAACTCTTTTAAAAGGAAATAACATAATTATAAATTATTATAAAATTGTCAAAAATATACAAATAATCCATTTTTGATTATTTTTATTTAAAACACAATTAGTCGTATTAATTTTTGCCTCATTTTTGTTTTAAAAACGGGGAAATAATGTTAATTTTTTGCCATACAAACTTATTTTTTAAAAAAGACTTAAAAACGAAAAAAAACATTCTATAAAATAACACTGAAGCATTTTTGGGCTTCAGCATTAACTGTGTAAATTTTGGTAAACGCCTGGTTGTGTTTAAGAAAGAGTATTATATATTATGTAAAAAGTTTGAGTGTTCATTAATTCAATTTTAGCATTCTTAAGTCAATTCCACAAACGTTAAACTGGTTGTCTAGTTTTGGGGGCTTAATAAATTTATTGATTCTATCCATCCACAGACAAATTGTCTTGATGTGCTTTTTCTGTGTAAAAGGAATATTTTATTTTTTGGTATGCAAAAATGTAGTAAGCCAAGAGTTAATATCACAGATGTTGTATCGCAAATACAACACAACTCAATTGAAATTATGAATGTTTGCAAATTAATGGAATTGAAACTTTAAATAATGTAAGCGAAGTAGTGGATAATAATTTTATTTTATTTTATTTTATAATTGTTTTAATTGTGTTCAAACTTAAGTTGCAATAAAAAAAGGAAATACATTTATGACCACTGTTCAAGTTGGTTAAAATTAAGAAAATATTTGTTGAAATTTTCACATCAAGTGTCGGCTTTATAACGTATGATAACTCTTTTTCATTTTTAGTGTGCACTTTGTCACAATTTTATTTTTACCATATTTTGTGATATTTGTCATTCACATTTGTGTCGTTGTCAACTTCATCACTTTTTGAGTTAAGCATTTCCATAGATGCAACCAGATTTGTCAATACAAAATCAAAAAGTTCAATTTTCAGTTTGTCATTCACAGACTTTTTTTATCATAAGTTTCTTCATCTTACAAACACCCAAGACTTTTGTTTTGTGAGCTTAAATGCAACAAATTGAGATTGGATGTCCTCGATGGACGAACGGAACACTTCTTCATTTGTGTTTTATTCACAAAGTTGCACCTTTTATTGATGCACAACTTTACATCATTCAAAGGATAGAAAAGACTCTACAAAACGTGGTGACTAAAACAAGTGAATTATACAAGAATTACAGAAGTTGAGATATATGAAGTATGTCACAATCAATGACGGATGCACTGAAATTTCAAAGGAACTTTTTGAGGAATGCAACAATCTTGAAACGATAGAAATATCATTATCTGTTAAAACAATTATTGGAGATGCTTTTGTGAGTTGTACAAAAGTTTCTGGAATTGTGTTTGATCCCAAGTGTATTTCTTTTTTTGTAAAACCATCAAACATTCAAGTGATAGTTATACCTGAAAGCATTACCAAGCTCAACAGAAGTGACTTTATTTAGTGTATGAACGTGAATGAACTGACTATACCAAAATCACTGAAAGAGATTGAACAAAACACCTTCAGTAATATGTATGATATCCTTAATTTTTCTAAAGACCCAATATTTGTAAAGAATATAAACAAACAGTTGTTGTTTCGAGTGAACAAACCAGATTTTGTAACAGTCAGACCAAAAGAATGTTTTAAAGGGTGTGTTAATCTCCAAGATGTGAAAATCCAAAATACAATTTGAGCATTAAATCAAAAGCATTTGCAAGATGTATTCGACTCAAACCAATCACCATCCCTCAAAGTGTGACATTAATCGCTGTAAAATCAACCGATGCATTTGGAGTTTGCAAAACAAATGCGTTTAATGGATTAAATCAAGTGCAATATGAATCAATGTTAGATGAACTTAACATTGACAATTTCATGACTCCAATGATGTTTAAAGACTATTCAAATTATAAAAATATCAAATGTCTCGAGATACAAATAACAACACAAAATATAAAATCTGAAACATTTCAGAAATTCAAAAGTTTAAATTTCAAGCTAACTATAAAATTTCAATTCCAGAATACATTTTTTGTTTTTTATTTTAAAAATTTAAATTATTATTATTAATTATAGTAATTTAATAAGTGGAAGAATCAATATAGATAAAATTCAGATAATTTCAGAGCACTAAGGGGCCTAAGAAGCCAAGAGTTTTTTCTTCCAAGCTAACGATCCTGGGTTCAATTCCCGGTTAGTGCATTTTTTGTTTTTTATTCTGTAAAATTATTTGTAAATAATTATTTATATATTAGAACCATTCGGTTATAATTATTTTTAATTTATTAAAAATAATTATTTTTTTTCATATACAATGGTATTTGTTCATTATTTATTATTCGCATATAAACATAAAAATCTGATTTTTACAAAATCACTTATATTTTGTTAATTGGTGGTTTTATTGGCTTTTTTCATAAAGAATAAAAAACATTGCCTTTATTTGTACTATCCAATTTGAAATGATTTGATTGTATTTGATATTATCTAATAAAACTTATTATTGTCTTAAATAATAACAGTATGAATATACATTCAAATATCGCAAACATGTGTATTTTAAGTCGTACTCAATGTATCACAAGAAACGTTTTCACCACTCTTGATATACCAAAGATCGCAACATTCACACAATGTTTTATTTACAATCACTCATTACATACAACAACATATAACACCGCGTTGTTGCGACACTCGTCACACCAACTTGCTATTGTACAAAATAAGCAGTTTTGCTTGCATTGGACACAAATCTACCCACTTTTGATATTCACATCAGAGCACCACAAACACCCAAAAGTCTTTGAGATTTCACCACAATTAGTAATGTTGTACACACTCTTATAAACTCCATTTACATACATGAAGTATTTGTTATTACATATTTCACAAATATGATCATTTAACAAATCATACATTATTATCACACTTTTGAAACGTTTTGTTATAAACATAATACAAATCTACACATCGCATACACTTCCCACTTGCATCATATGAATTGTAGATGCCTTCAAGTGTAAATTTGATACTTCCTGTTTTATTACACTGTACTTGTTATACAACTCCGAGACTTCTTCGTTTTCTCTTTTCAATCTGTACTATTTGTGTTGCATTTACTAAATTTGTTTTCGTTGTGATGTATATCATTTGCACATCGGAAACACCCAAACATGATACATTTCATAGTA